TCCACGCTAATCCCCAAAGCAGCTCAGGGTCTGTGACCTCACGTGACGACTGACCACTGAACACTGACGACTGATCCAAGGAGAGCGAGAGAGTGAAGACTGATCCAAGGAGAGGGAGAGAGTGAAGACTGATCCAAGGAGAGGGAGAGAGTGAAGACTGATCCAAGGAGAGGGAGAGAGTGAAGACTGATCCAAGGAGAGTGAGAGGGTGAAGACTGATCCAAGGAGAGCGAGAGAGTGAAGACTGATCCAAGGAGAGGGAGAGAGCGAAGACTGATCCAAGGAGAGGGAGAGAGTGAAGGCTGATCCAAGGAGAGGGAAGGGGAGCGAAGACTGATCAAGGAGAGGGAGAGAGTGAAGCTGATCCAAGGAGAGCGGGGAGAGTGAAGACTGATCCAAGGAGAGGGAGAGAGTGAAGGGCTGATCCAAGGAGGGGAGAGAGGGGAAGACTGATCCAAGGAGAGGGAGAGAGTGAAGACTGATCCAAGTAGAGGGAGAGAGTGAAGACTGATCCAAGGAGAGTGAGAGGGTGAAGACTGATCCAAGGAGAGCGAGAGAGTGAAGACTGATCCAAGGAGAGGGAGAGAGCGAAGACTGATCCAAGGAGAGTGAGAGAGTGAAGACTGATCCAAGTAGAGGGAGAGAGTGAAGACTGATCCAAGGAGAGTGAGAGAGTGAAGATTGATCCAAGTAGAGTGAGAGAGTGAAGACTGATCCAAGGAGAGGGAGAGAGTGAAGACTGATCCAAGGAGAGTGAGAGAGTGAAGACTGATCCAAGTAGAGGGAGAGAGTGAAGACTGTTCCAAGGAGAGTGAGAGGGTTTAAGATGATCCAAGTAGAGGGGGAGAGTGAAGACTGATCCAAGGAGAGTGAGAGGGTGAAGATGATCCAAGTAGAGGGAGAGAGTGGGAAGGGCTGATCAAAGGAGAGTGAGAGGGTGAAGACTGATCCAAGGAGAGCGAGAGAGTGAAGACTGATCCAAGGAGAGGGGGGAGAGCGAAGACTGATCCAAGGAGAGTGAGAGAGTGAAGACTGATACAGGTAGAGGGAGAGAGTGAAGATGATTTCCCAAAGGGGAGTGAGAGAGTGAAGACTGATTCAAGTAGAGTGAAAGAGTGAAGACTGATCCAAGGGAGGGAGAGAATGAAGACTGATCCAAGGAGAGTGAGAGAGTGAAGACTGATCCAAGTAGAGGGAGAGAGTGAAGACTGATCCAAGGAGAGTGAGAGGGTGAAGACTGATCCAAGTAGAGGGAGAGAGTGAAGACTGATCCAAGGAGAGTGAGAGGGTGAAGACTGATCCAAGGAGAGCGAGAGAGTGAAGACTGATCCAAGGAGAGAGAGAGAGCGAAGACTGATCCAAGGAGAGTGAGAGAGTGAAGACTGATCCAAGTAGAGGGAGAGAGTGAAGACTGATCCAAGGAGAGAGAGTGAAGTCTTATCCAAGTAGAAGGAGAGAGTGAAGACTGATCCAAGGAGAGTGAGAGGGTGAAGACTGATCCAAGGAGAGCGAGAGAGTGAAGACTGATCCAAGGAGAGGGAGAGAGCGAAGACTGATCCAAGGAGAGTGAGAGAGTGAAGACTGATCCAAGGAGAGGGAGAGAGTGAAGACTGATCCAAGGAGAGTGAGAGAGTGAAGACTGATCCAAGGAGCGTGAGAGAGTGGAAAAACTGATCCAAGGAGAGGGAGAGAGTGAAGACTGATCCAAGTAGAGGGAGAGAGTGAAGACTGATCAAAGGAGAGGGAGAGAGTGAAGACTGATCCAAGGAGAGTGAGAGAGTGAAGACTGATCCAAGGAGAGTGAGAGAGTGAAGACTGATCCAAGGAGAGGGAGAGAGTGAAGAAATGATCCAAGGAGAGGGAGAGAGTGAAGACTGATCCAAGGAGAGGGAGAGAGTGAAGACTGATCCAAGGAGAGGGAGAGAGTGAAGACTGATCCAAGAAGAGGGAGAGAGTGAAGGCTGATCCAAGGAGAGGGAGAGGGTGAAGACTGATCCAAGGAGAGTGAGAGAGTGAAGACTAATCCAAGGAGAGGGAGAGAGTGAAGACTGATCCAAGTAGTAGAGGGAGAGAGTGAAGACTGATCCAAGGAGTGGGAGAGAGTGAAGACTGATCCAAGGAGAGGGAGAGAGTGAAGACTGATCCAAGGAGAGGGAGAGAGTGAAGACTGATCCAAGGAGAGTGAGAGAGTGAAGACTGATCCAAGGAGAGGGAGAGAGTGAAGACTGATCCAAGGAGAGTAGAGAGTGAAGACTGATCCAAGGAGAGTGAGAGAGTGAAGGGCTGATCCAAGGAGAGGGAGAGAGTGAGACTGATCCAAGGAGAGAGAGAGAAATGAAGGCTGATCCAAGGAGAGGGAGAGGGTGAAGACTGATCCAAGGAGAGTGAGAGGGTGAACGCTGATCCCAGGAGAGCGAGAGAGTGAAGACTGATCCAAGGAGAGGGAGAGAGTGAAGGCTGATCCAAGGAGAGGGAGAGTGAAGATGATCAAGGAGAGGAGAGAGTTGAAGACTGATCCAAGGAGAGGGAGAGAGTGAGACTGACCAAGGGAGGAGGAGGAAAGATATCCAAGAGAGGGAGAGAGTGAGGACTGATCAAGGAGAGTGAGAAGTGAAGACTGGATCCAAGGAGAGGGAGAGATGAAGACTGATCCAAGGTGAGTGAGAGAGCCGAAGATGATCCAAGGGGGAGGGAGAGTGAAGACCTGATCCAAGGAGTTGGAGAGTGAAGCTGATCCAAGTGAGAGGAGAGAGATGAAGACTGATCCAAGGAGAGTCCGAGAGAGTGAAAGACTGATCAAGGAGAGGAGAGGTGAAGGACTGATCCAAGGAGAGGGAGAGAGTGAAGACTGATCCAAGGGAGGTGAGAGAGTGGAGACTGATCAAGTGGAGTGAGAGAGTGAAAGACTGATTCCAAGGAGAGGGAGAGAGTGAAGATGATCCAAGGACGTTGAGAGAGTGAAGACTTTATCCAGGGTGAGTGAGAGAGTGAAAACTGATGCAAAGGGAGGAGAGTGAACGATGATCCCAGGTGACTGAGAGAGTGAAGACTGATCCAAAGGAGAGGAGAGAGTGAAGACTACCAAGGAGAGGGATGAAAGTGAAAGCTGATCCAAGGAGAGGGAGAGAGTGAAACTGATCCACAGGTAGTGGAGAGGTGAAGTGATCAATGGAGGGAGAGATGAAGACTGATCAAGGAGAGGGAGAGATGTGAAGACTGATCCAAGGAGGTAGAGATTGAAGACTGATCAAGGGGAGTGAGAGAGTGAAGCTGATGAGTGGAGAGGGGGAGTGAAGATGATCCAAGGATGAGGGAGAGACGTGAAGTACTGATCCAAGGAGAGGGAGAGGGTGAAGACTGATCCAAGGTGATTGAGAGAGTGAAGACTGTATCCAAGGAGAGGGTGAGAGAGCTGAAGACTTGGATCCCAAAGGAGAGGGAGAGCGTGAAGACTGATCAAGGAGTGAGAGATGTGAAGACTGATCGCAAGGAGAGAGGAGGAGTGAAGGACTGATCCAAGGTGAATGAGAGAGTGAAGCTGATCACAAGGAGAGGGAAAGTGAAGACTGATTTTTTCAAGGAGAGGGAGAGAGTGAGGCTGATCCAAGGAGAGGGAGCGTCGTCAAGTTTGCTGGATCCTTAGGTCATGATGGGAGGAAAGATAAATCTATCCCCATCTTTGGACCAACGCCCCAGGCGTAGCCAAGCAGGCCTCTCTAGTGTCACCTCCCCGGTAATGAAATACTCTGTAGCGCAAGCTCTGGTCAAGGCACTAGTACCTTTTGTGAGAGCTGGTATGGAGTCGATGACTGAATACTATGGATGATGAAGAGGTGAAGTACCTTGATACTTAACAGGTGTGGTACTTAGTGATGAATACATGATTGTACTTTTTAATGATGTACTACAGAGATGAAGATGTGACTAAGGAGACTACATGGTGTAGAAGACATGATGTACAGACTGATGGGACACAGAGTCATGTGCAGACTATGGCAAAAGATGATGGGAGAGTAGGCTAGTACAATAAATTGAGAAGTACGTTTGTGTACACAATTTTGGGATGGTGTAAATGAAATTTAAATTATTAAGATTCCGGTATTTCCGTGGGAAGTGGTGTGCCTTCTCCGCTGGGAGTGTCTGAGACCAGTTCATGGGAAGTACAAAACCCCCCATTTGGACACTGAGGCTAGACAGTGGACTTCTGGTTTTCTCCCTTTTAGGGGGTAGAAATAAAGCTTTTAAGCTAACATCTCAAGGACATATAGAAGGGGTGGCATTTTGGGTACCAAATTTAGAGATGATGGTACATTAACATGATGGTACATTAACATGATGGTACATTAACATGATGTACATTAACATGATGTACATTAACATGATGTACATTAACATGATGTACATTAACATGATGTACATTAACATGATGTACATTAACATGATGTACATTAACATGATGTACATTAACATGATGGTACATTAACATGATGTACATTAACATGATGTACATTAACATGATGTACATTAACATGATGTACATTAACATGATGTACATTAACATGATGTACATTAACATGATGTACATTAACATGATGTACATTAACATGATGTACATTAACATGATGGTACATTAACATGATGTACATTAACATGATGGTACATTAACATGATGTACATTAACATGATGTACATTAACATGATGGTACATTAACATGATGGTACATTAACATGATGGTACATTAACATGATGTACATTTTCATGATGTACATTAACATGATGGTACATTAACATGATGTACATTAACATGATGGTACATTAACATGATGTACATTAACATGATGGTACATTAACATGATGGTACATTAACATGATGGTACATTAACATGATGTACACTAACATGATATACATTAACATGATGTACATTAACATGATGGTACATTAACATGATGTACATTAACATGATGGTACATTAACATGATGGTACAATAACGTATGTTA